TCCAGTTTCCTGTCAGCTCTCTGACCATGAGAAATGTTTCCACATGTCTGGGTTAGGATGGAAGAGCCCAAGGTCGTCACTCCTGCTGGAATGTAAGCTCCTGAGGAGGGGAGGCTAATTGTCCCTTGTATTCAGAGTTGGTTATTGGCTCCTGGATTGGTGCAGAGCAAGAGAAAAATATTCAGTAAATGCTTGAATAGTGCACAAATACACTTTACGCAGTAGGCTGTCATTTTATTCAGTCAAAAAGAGCTGCTAAAGTTTAACCTGGTTTTTTTTTTTTAAGGCTTATTTGTCTTCAACTACTTGAAAGGCAAAGTGAGAGGGAGAGAGAGAGGGAGACTTCTTCCATCCACTGGTTCATTCCCTAAATGTCTACAATAGCTAGGGCTGGACCAGCACGAGGAATCCAGAACTCCATCTGGGTCCCCATGGGCAGCAGGGACCCAAGCACTTGGACTCTAACCTGCTGCCTCCGAGATGCATTAGCAGAAAGCTGGATCTAAAGCGAGGAGCCAGGCCTCCAACCAGCATCCTGACATGGAATGCACGCTTACCAAGAGGCAGCTTTGCTGACTGCGACACGGCACCTGTCCCCCAAATTTTAACATTCTAAATAATCAAATATATTTTGCATGCTTCAGAAAGTTTACAAGAAAAGGATACTTCAAAAAGTTTATGGAAAAATAGAGTTAAAAGATAAGTTTAGGGGCCCAGCACAATAGCCTAGTGGCTGAAGTCCTTGCCTTGCTTGTGCTGGAATCCCTTATGGGTGCCAGTTCACGTTCGGCTGTCACAAACACCTTTTCACCAGGCTTTGATGTGTTTTTAGGAGTCTTGAAATATTATAAAGAAAAATAGCAGTGATAGCTTCCAGGGCCCTTAGTAACTGACCTTCTGCAGCGTGCCAAGGGGGCAGCAGCGGAGGAAGGGAGCTGGGCCGCAGTGGGGGGCGGGGTGCTCAGAAGGCCTGCCGCTGCTTGTTCGCTTTCTCAGGCCAAGCAGATTTTTCTGGCCCTAGAACTAATGATCTTTGAACCTTTGGGTTTGTGTCTTTGGCTAAGTTTTCAAATCAAAACAGAAACGTATCTTCACAGACACAGACTACATTAACGTCCTAGCAAGCCTACATAAAATGGCAGCCATATGAAATTATTATTTGGCTTTTATTGTCTGTTTTGGGGAACAATTATCAACACTCATTTTTTGGCTGAAATTCTTTTCATATTTGCAAAGTCCTAAGGTTAGGTTTCTCAGTAAAAACCCACTATTGGGAGAAAGATAACACAATATTATTTGCTTATAGGGGACCCCTCTTAAATACAATAAATATAAATGTCCATGATATTTAATGTTTAGTAATAATAAAACAAAAATAAGTGTGCAAGAAAAAAATAAAGTGCATGCTTAGTATTTTCAGGGTGAATGTGAAATTTTCTCAACTCTCTCAGGTCCCCATTTTTATTGAAGAGCCCCTTCACTGAGGAACCATGTACATGTGTACATGCTGTAACTTATACCACCAGCGGTGTAATTTTGGACAAAAAAAATTCAACTAATTGAATGTTTTCCATGTTAATTTTGAAGAAACAAACTTCGTATAGTCATTTTTAAAACTCCTGATGTTCTTAGCATATTTTGGTAGTGTGATGGGAGTAAACCCTATAATTTGATTGCTGAGACATGAATTTTTCTGAGTGCAAAGCAATCTTGAAATATACTTTTTTTCCCCTATATGAGATCCTTTTATAAGTGGGGCATGAGCAGCAGCTAGCGAGGAGGGACAGCTGAGGAGGTACTTGGCCTGTGTTTACTTGAAGCTGTTACTCAAGCAAAACACCAGCATGAATGGAGTTCAGAGGCTGATCTCTGTTTTGGATGATTCCATTTTAGTGTTGGGAATAGAGAATGAAACATGGCTGTAAATCATCCAATCCTTGTAGTTTGTTTCCCCCACAAGGGATTAGGGATACCATGGCATAATTTATGAGAAAAATAAAAGTTATTTCATGCTGCTTGTTCACTTGGGGGCTTATGTTGAATTATAAGCATTTGCTAAAGCTTCGGTGGACATTCTCAAGTGTACCAGATGCTTGGCAGTTCACTTTACAGATTACATGTTAGGAGGAGGTGTCTTACTGCTGAGCCTCATGTAAGTCCATTGCAGAACCCAGAAGGCCCGTCATTAGACTCTTGCTCTTTCCATCTCTGGTCTTTTAGGCATAATGTGTAGGAATGCCAGCTTGGATTATATCTGCACATTTTAATGTGTCTCTCTTCTACTGCAAATATGACACCTCTGCAGGAAAGCCTTAAAGAAGGAGCCACACTGCCATGGAAGGCCTCTCTGTGACAACATGTGCCATCCGCATTAAATCCTTTGTTTCAGTCTTTGGACTCTTTCCACTGCTGATGTAATCAGCTGTTGGCAGCCGTCCTTGGATCCTTGCTTGCTCCTTGTTGTGCCTGTGATTCTTCAGATCTAGGGCTTGGGCTTCAGTTGTTTAATAGAACCTAACAGCACTGGCAACATATATACTTGAGGTGATGTTCAATGGGGTGGATTTTGCTTGGAAGTCGCTCCATGTTTCTGTGAAGTGAGAGTAGAACTTAAGTAATATTGTGTTGTTAGCAGACACTTTAAGGCAATAGAAATGGAAGTTAGTGGTGCAGGTGAGATACAGCATTAAACTTTCTCCAAAAACTAAGAAGCAAACCAGAAGTGACCTAAATAAAAAGTCTACATGGTTAGAAATAGAATCAAATAAATCCACCACCACAAAAAACAAGTTTCTAGGTAGGAAGGGTAATAGGCTTTCTTTTTTTTAAAAAATTTTATTATTATTATTATTTTTTATAATCTTTACATAGTTAATTAGGGTAAAAAGGTTCAAGGACTACAGGAAAGTGGATAAGACTAGTATTTTTCCCAAATTGTTTCCTTCATTTTTTTTAAAGATTTATTTTTATTATTTTTTTTTATTGGAAAGGCGGATATACAGAGAGGAGAGACAGAGAGGAAGATCTTCCATCCGATGATTCACTCCCCAAGTGAGCGCAACGGCCGATGCTATGCCGGTCCAGAGCCAGGAGCCTGTTCCGGGTCTCCCATGCGGGTGCAGGTTCCCAAAGCTTTGGGCTGTCCTCGACTGCTTTCCCAGGCCACAGGCAGGGAGCTGGAAGGGAAGCGGGGCTGCCGGGATAGAACCTGCGCCCATATGGGATCCCGGGCGTTCAAGGCAAGGACCTTAACCACTTGCGCCACCGCGCCAGGCCCTGTTTCCTTCATGTTTAAAGGGGGGTATTAAGGGAGAAGTCCCACCCAATTTCCCACCCTCCGACCCGTATGTTGGGCATGCTCTGAGGTTCTTGCCCAAGTGGTTTTGATATTGCAACAGTCATGAATCGCTGCCAGTCTTACCACTCCAAGCACTATGAAGTCTTTGAAAAATTCACTGATTGACATAGTCCATCATAGCTGAGATGGTTGGTCGACCTGTTCTGTCTTCTCTATAGGCTTTTGATGTAGTGATGCAGTTGCTTCCTGGGCTTCCTACATTCCCAGAGCTCAGTCCCAGCCCTGAGCCTGAGTTCATCTTCCTGCTAATGTGCACCCTTGGACATAGCAGGTGATTGCTCCAATACCTGGGACCCTGACACCCATCTAGGAGACCCTAGTTGAATTCTTGGATCGCAAATCCAGCCTGGTCCTACCCCAGCAGACAGTTGGGTATTAAAAACCAGCAGGTGGGAGAGAGCTTCACATACATATTTACTTCAGAAAGTTAATGGGAAAATGGAACTGAAAGATGCTTATTTTGATAGAAATGTATTTTCTCTTGAATTTTTTGAGGTGCCTTCATATATAATCAAGGTTGTAAAAAATATATATAAGGTAAAACTCACTAATGACTATGCCTTTTTTTGTGAACTAAACTTCCTTTCACCCCTGAGCACATATAAGGGTCATTGAAGAAATGAGGCTAGAGTTGAGGAAAGAAATCTAGACATACACATATAAAGATGTGAGCCCTTGGCTGGCATTCAGTCTCTATGGCATGAAGTTTGGGGTGAGAAGGGTGAAGTGTACATAGACAAGAGCAGGGCCCTGGATGCCTTCAGTATGTCCAGGTCTGTGAAGGAAGAAGTCTAGGTGAAAGTCACTCCTGGGACATGATTGTTTCAATCAGCTGCTTACAGTGGACGCTACATTGAGCAACACAGAGGTGGTCCTTGGTGGCTCCCTCAAGAACAAGGCCAGTAGAGAGAATGGCACAGCCAACACCGAGGCTGTGACAGGTGAACACGGACGCTGTGTTTGCACGAGGGCTCCAAGTTGTGGATTAGATGCCAGGATCTCAACTCTGGGTTACTGGAGGTCAGGGGAATACGCTTGGTCATGGAATCAGAGAACCCGAATAGTGAGAAACTGAAGTGCTGAAAGTCAGAAGGGTGGAGTGAGACAGCACGGCGAGCAGCTCCAAGGTGTGCTGCCACTGATGGATATGAAAAGGTCCTTCAGAAAGCTCATGCAAAATGTGTGTAAAATCTGTTTACCCAAGCCTTTCCATCCCATTTCTCACCGAGTTTTTGAAGTGCCCTTCTTGATAACCTAAAGTACATTTTCTGACATATGGCAGCATTTAAAAATTTTAAATATGTCAGTGTATTTCTGGCTGCCTTTCTGTTTTCTCAAGCCGAAAGCATGTGATTTTAGGAGGCTTGAGATGTAATCCACTCAGTCCCCTCCTACCTCCAGACATCCTAGACAATCGACCCCCAAAGAACAAAACCCTGTAGCTCCTGTTACCCAGTTAGACACAACAGCCTCTAGATTCTGCACTAATCATTCTAGCCTGTAACGCTTTATATTCCACAATCAAATGTATATTTCAAAAAAAAAATGTGCCTTGAACTTGCTACTACACTCATGGTCCTGGGCCCTCGCGCCAGCCTTTGTCCCTGAGGGACTGATCGAACTCCCGTGTCTCTCTCCGTAGACAGCAGCGAGTACCTGGTGGATGACTGTAGTATCATTGCCGGAGGGAATCTCACTGGGTGGCACCCAGACTCTGCAGCTGTGCTATGGCGAAGAGTTTTGGGAGTCCTCGGAGATGTGAATAACATCCAGTCACCCAAGATCCATGCCAAAGTCTTTGGGTATCTCTGTGAACTCTGGTACAAGCTAGCAAAGGTATGTCCTGCCGGTTTCCCATTTGCTCTAACATAGGAACATATTATGGAGCACAAATGAGCTATTAAGATAGTGCACCTTTGATTATTGAAGAATATTTGTAGTTTGCTATTGATAATAAAAACTGGTGAATATTTTAGATTTCCAACCAACCTGTAGAAAGTTAAGTAGGAGCTGCTGTTTGACCTTGGGAGACAATATAGAAATACTTATCTTCCCTACAATTTTCCCCTTTGCAAATCAGATCCGGGATAATCTAGCAATCAGCCTGGATAACCAGTCTTCTCCATCCCCTCCGGTCTTGATCCCACCACTCAGAATGTTTGCATCATGGCTATTCAAGGCAAGTGGATATGTGTTTATCCTTTTATTGCAATTTCCTCTTCCTTCCTGAAATTGAGTTTAAAAAATGTAATTGCCCAAGACTGCATGTTTTTGAGGACAGACTGGGTCTTCCTAAAGCCACTGCAGTCTACATCTCCATAAACAAGCTCTTCTGGAAAACCGAGAAGTAAATGAAATGTTGAAATGGTTGGCATCTGGACTGGATTTAATCGGGAAACATCATCTCCTTGGCAGGCTACGACGCTGCCAAATGAATATAAGGAAGGCAAACTGCAAGCCTACAGACTCATCTGTGCCATGATGACCAGACGCCAGGATATGCTGCCAAACTCGGATTTCCTGGTGCATTTTTACCTTGTGATGCACCTGGGATTAACCAGCGAGGATCAGGTATGCTGCATCCCCTTTATCATGACTGTCCATTAGTTGCAAATCGCGCTTCATAGAAAATACATCAAATATGTTGTTTTTGCTTATGGTTTCAACTTTGACAGGAGCCGTGACCACAGTGCCCTTTGAGAAATGTGAAAGCAGGCTTTATCACATCCCTGCATTGTGGCAACTCAAGTGGAATTCTGTGCTTTGTACTTAGTGATCTAATCTCTTGTTCATGTTGTCATCCTCAAAACTGTTTTAATCATCCCTTTCCCCCTTGGGGTCTGAATTGATTGAAGAAAATTATTCTGGTGACTTAAAGATTCTTAGAAACTCTTTTTGTAGCACATAGGACATTTTTATACAAAAGACTCAAATTATGGGATGGGTCCTAACATTTCTTGATGAGGAGTTATTTTAATGTCTCCCAAAAGGAACTTCCATTTCAGCTCAGTTGGAAGGGAAGCCCAATGAGCCGGTAACGACAGCCCTCGCCGCCCTGGAGTTAGGGGATGGAATGGGACCTGCCCTAGATTTCCCTCGGCAGGACTTCTGGCACTGGGGAGAAACGGACTCTGGCAGGACCATAGCTCTGGACTTAGTGTGGAAATATCCAGCAGGGGAGTGATGTGCTTGTTTTGGATTTCTCAGGCATCATTCTGGACTCCTTGTGGAAGAGAGAGTTGGAAATGTGGTCTGTGATAGGACAGAGCAGGACATTTGGCTTGGGAATTAATTAGGGAATGGCTAAACCAATATAGTGAAAATGTTGATAGTAGTTTCAGAAATTGTGGGCAGGAGATGGGAGGAAACAAGAAAATTTCAAGAAGTTTATGAACGTTGTATCACCAGATCTTCTCCATCAGTTAGAGATGTAGGGAGTCTCAGAATTTATGCGGTAGATGAGAAACACTCAACAATGAACTGGAGTCATTTAGTAACTACCACATAGCTGCCCCCTCTGTATCTGTTTTAATCTTGGTTGTATCATGAAGACACACAGAAGTTTCATGTCCTGGCAGTCAGCTTTCCATTGCTTCAGAATGTCCTTAAACCTCCCCTGTCCCAGGGCTCTGTTGGAGGGTTTGCAGTGTATTCCCTGAAGCAGTCTCTGAGCTTTCGCCTCAGGAGTGACCACTCTGGCCTAGCAACCTGTCTGTGTCATGTTTGTTCTGCCTTCAGTCATTTCAAGGAGATCTCTCTGTCGCAGAGGCTGTCATATATCCTAAATAAGGATATGAGATGGAATTGTTCGTCCTCTCTGTCCAGATAGTTCAGTCAGTGCAGTTGCAGTGTCTTTTACAGGGTGAGGCAGCTGAAGGCATGTGGAAAGCTAAGGAGGAGAATTAGTTTTAAACAGATAATGAGTTACCCCAATCCAGGAACCGAGTCAGGAAGGTGTACTTGACAATGTTGTACTTTAGAGTGAAATCTTTCCTGGTAAAGATTTTGCAGGAAAAAAAAAAATGTTTACTTGAAAATAAACAAGAGTGAGGTTTTCTTGAAAGTCAGCAGTAAACAGTCCCTTATAATAATTTCTCTAGATAATAATAACTAGGTGTGAGTTTACAATCTTTATTTTAAGGTGTGTTTGTGAGGAAAAAAAATGGATCAACACAATGAGATGACTTAAGAGCGCATATAAGCGTTTGGGGAGCCCAAACAGAGATTTTACACATAATTTCCAAAATGTGCTTCACAATGGCAAAGAAAAAATTTTCAGATTTTGCACTTACATATATATTTTACATCTTAATATATGTTATGTTTCCAGTTAGGGATCTTTTGTAGTTCATTGTAAAATAAATATTAAAAGATGGCACAACTTAATAATTTTCCCAATATACAGGCTTCTGAGACAAACTGGACCTATCATAAATGTCGGCTTTATAATAGGCCTATTGTTTAGGCCATTGGCGTCTGCATTTTTATATGTTTTAATAGAATTGACTGTTTTCTTTAACCTTAACAAGTATTGGTATATATTTTCGAAGCCCTGACTTTCTGTCTGCCAGGCAGCATTATTCTAAATAAACTTTATTCCTCTGCCAGGAGAAAATTATGCAAAAGATCCTATAATAAAAGAGAAACCTTTCTCATTTAAGTAAGAAATGCCTCTGGTAATTAATTTAACTTTTAGTCCACATGTCTAAATAGATGGTGGTAGTTGTTCTAGAACTTACATGTAATTCTGAAAACACATGGTAATTATAGAAAGAAAAAAGAAAGCTTTTTTTTCTTTAGAGAGTACAGTTAAATTCAATTGTTTAATTGGCAAACTGTGCACCTGTGGCTGGTATGTCTCAGGGCTTGTTTCCATCATGTGGGAATTCTCCAAAGAGCCACACACAAAGAAGATTAATTTATGCAGAGAGAGAATCTTATAAGGAACTTCCTATTTTTATTAATAAGACAAGTAATAGCAAAGAACGCTTTATTAAAATATAATATTTATCAGTTTTGTCTTGCTGGGGAAAACTAAGATGGATTTCCTCTTTTGGCCTTTGGGTGGCAGACTTGTCCACACTCAGCTGTGTGCTTCTCAACTTCCTTAAGACTGGGGCGCTTTGGACAGTGGGCTGTGTGTGGTGTGGTCTTTCTACAAAATGTCTTTCTCACTTAGAGCATCAAAATTGTATCAGCAGTGACTAGTGAAGGAGGGAATTATATCTAGCCCTGAAATTTTAAAAGTCTTACAAGTATAATGGTAGTAGACTTTTTTTTTTTAACTTCTAAAAAGCTGACCATTTTTAAAATAGATGTGGTACAAATTGCCTGGCATTATATGACACAGTATAAAATCATGATTTAATTCATATCAGGTTTATTATGTAAACTAATCTAGTCATTTTCATCTAGAAAATAATAATTCATGTACCGAATAGACAGAATTCAAAATACATTGCATCCCAAAACAACTTTATTTTTATTTTCACCAGTTGTAGCTATCCAAATAGCTAATAGTTTAATGGCTAACACAATGACCTTATCATACATTTCCCACAGTACATACATAGTGTGGGTTTGTGGCTTGTTAGTGTAATTGAAAACATGCTTTGAAATGGCTCTGTTTTTCCTTGACAATGAAGTTTCAAAAAAATTATTCTGTGACTAGTCTAGAAAATAATTAGGATCATAAACACTTTCAAAACAGTTACAAATTTTGTAGGAAACTTTGGGTGATTTGTGGGGCTTCCCAGGCTGCCTCTGAAGGGTCCTCCTTCTACTCATCCACTTCGTGCTTGGTAGGCAGGTGGGGGCACCAGAGGGGGTGCCAGGGCATGCATGGTGCTCTACCATCATTCCTCTCTGCAGTTCAGCTAGGGAAATGCCACGACGCATGTTATTAATAATGAAGGTTCAAAAAATAATTGAGAACTTTGGCCCAGTGCCGCAAGTAGAATTCACATGCAGGCTTCCCACTATTCCACTGGGATTGTCTTTGCTGTTGAGTCGCAGTTAATGGGTTGATCAGAAGGTCCTTGATTTTATTCTTTTTTTTTTAAATATTTATTTATTTTTTTATTGGAAAGTGAGATATGAAGAGAGGAAGAGAGACAGAGAGGAAGATCCTCTGTCCAATAATTTACTCTCTGATCCGAAGCCAGGAGCGAGGAGCTTCTTCCAGGTCTCCCATGCAGGAACAGGGTTCCATGACTTTGGGTCATCCTTGACTGCTTTTCCAGGCCACAAGCAGGAGTCAAGGCAGGTAATGCTCAAGGTGCAGCTGGATGGGAAGCTGGGCCGCCGGGATTAGAACCAGTGCTTATAAGGGATCCCAGCATGTTCAAGGCGAGAACTTTAGCTGCTAGGCTACCACGCCCAGATCTTCTGTTTGTTTTGTTTTTGTTTTTTGTTTTTTAGTTTGGTCTACCCCTCCTCCTTCAGGATCTTCCTCCCAACCTGTAAATGCCTTCCCATAGTAGTAGTAGTAGGAGGAGTTTTTTTGCCATCTTTCTGTGTCTCTTCCAAAGCTGTTCTTGGTTGTTCTTCATTTTTCCTAATGTGTAAGCAGCTTGTCCACCTCAGCCTTCCCCAAGTCTTTTGACATGAAAGGAACTATGTTCCAGACTTATTACAAACAGTTCCTATTAATTTCACGATTATGTGAAACATATGGAAAGATCAATATGTGTGAAATGGAAAAGGACAGTTGAGGAAAAGAATTTTATTTTCATGTTTTTAAAAAACATATCAAAGACTGGAAAGTTTTCTTAAAACAAACGAACTATTTTTTAACAATGACTTACAGATTTAATGTCTTAATGTAATTTGTCTGTTATACATCAAAGTTAAAATCTCTTTTAAATGCAAAGCTTAACATTAATGCAAAATTATTGTTGCAAATTTGCATATAGAAATGTGGGGCAATATTGGTCTTTGTCATTTTCTTCTACAGTGTTATACTACTGTATTTTGTAGTGCACCAAAGAAAAAGAACGAGGCCTCTGTCAGGTGGAGCGTTTCTTCCTTTGTCCTGAGGTGACCATGGAGCTGTAGACTAGAATCAGCAGTAGAGGGTTAGGATGCTGTGTAGCGTTATGATCAATTGTGGAAGTTATGGCCATGGACCTCCAGTCAGCCTGCCCGGGGTCCCAACTGGGCATTCCCTCTTGTTAGCCACATGCTTTGAGCTGTCTATGCTTTCACGCCCTTTCTGTAAGATGAGGATGGTTGGAGTGCCATTGAAGGAGTCAAGGCAGGTAATGCTCAAGGTGCAGAGGGCCATGACAGGCTCGGGCCGCAGGGGCCATGAAAGCATTGTGGGGACAGCAACCCCCGGTGTTGTGATGGTGTAAGGTGTTCGTTTTTATTTCCTTCCCCATATTTTGTCTTACCTTTGAGCATAGATTGACTAAAAAATGTGACTAGGCATTGTGGAATTTCCAAACATGGAGAAATAACCACTCCCCATGCTGTGAATCAGGCAAAAGTATATTTAAAAAATTATTTGATCCTTGTGTGCTCATGACCCAGAAATGTACCATGTGTGTCCATATGGCCATTGGCTCCCC